GTTAGAAAATGATGACGATTATTCTCCGTTGGATTCGGACTCCGAGCAAGAAGATTGTTTAGTTGAAGATGATGTCAGGAGTGATAACGAAGACGCGATGGTCGACTTCATTGAGGATACAAGCCCTACAAGCAGGCAAGACGATCCCGAAAACCATGTTGCTTCTCTGGAATCGACTAATCTTGAGGTAACTTCATCTACTTCACATAGAATTATTACATTGCCTCAGCGGTCATTACGTGGCAAAAATAACCATGTATGGTCCACTACAAAGGGACGTACGACGGGAAGGACTTCTGCTATCAATATTATACGTACAAATAGAGTACCAACGCGAATGTGTCGCAATGTTTTTGACCCTTTGCTCTGTTTTCAACTTTTTATAACGGACGAGATAGTTGATGAAATAGTCAAGTGGACAAACGTGGAGATGATAATAAAACGACAAAATTTGAAAGAAATTTCGGCAAGCTACAGGGATACAAATGCAATGGAGGTCTGGGCGTTAATTGGAATACTCACTCTGACGGCTGTTATGAAAGATAACCACCTCTCAACTGATGAGTTGTTTGACGCTTCATTCTCTGGCACCCGGTATGTATCGGTAATGAGCAGAGAGAGATTTGAATTTCTTCTTAGATGTTTGAGAATGGACGATAAATCACTGCGGCCAACTCTTCGTAGCGATGATGCTTTTGTACCGGTGAGAAACATTTGGGAGATTTTTATCAATCAATGCAGATTGAACTACGTACCTGGCAGTAACTTGACTGTAGATGAGCAATTGTTAGGTTTCCGCGGCCGTTGTCCATTCCGCATGTACATACCCAATAAACCCGATAAATATGGGGTAAAATTCCCCATGATGTGTGACGCTTCAACAAAGTACATGATAGATGCCATACCTTACCTTGGTAGAAGTACGAAAACGAATGGTCTACCATTAGGCGAGTTTTACGTCAAAGAGTTGACTAAAACAGTACACGGAACAAACAGAAATGTTACATGCAACAAATGGTTTACGTCGGTCCCATTAGCTAAAAACTTGCTCCAGACTCCATACAACCTAACAATAGTAGGAACCATCAGGTCGAATAAAAGAGAAATACCCGAAGAGTTGAAAAACACTCGTTCACGGCCGGTAGGATCTTCAATTTTTTGCTTCAATGGCCCTTTGACATTGGTTTCCTATAAACCAAAGCCGTCGAAAATGGTATTTTTATTGTCGTCGTGTGATGAAAATGCCGTAATAAATGAAAGTAATGGAAAACCAGACATGATACTATTTTATAATCAAACGAAAGGAGGCGTTGATTCCTTCGATCAGATGTGTTTCTCTATGTCCAGTAACAGGAAGACAAATAGGTGGCCAATGGCAGTATTTTACGGAATGTTAAATATGGCTTTTGTGAACTCCTATATCATATACTGTCATAATAAGATAAGTAAACAAGAAAAACCAATGAGCCGCAAAGATTTTATGAAAAAATTAAGCACAGACTTGACGGCACCTTGGATGCAAAAACGACTGGAGACACCCACTTTGAAGAGGACACTACGTGACAATATAACAAATGTTTTAAAAAATGTGGTACCAGCAACTCCAGAAAATAGTAATGATGAGCTAGAACCAAAGAAACGACGCTATTGCGGATTTTGTTCATATAAAAAAAGGCGGATGACCAAAGCGCAGTGTTGCAAATGCCAAAAGGCAATATGCGGAGAACACAATATTGATATTTGTCAAGACTGTCTATAAAGGCTGATTTTTTTTATGAGACTAATATAGTATTATTACAAGTTAATTTAATTTTTGAAAAAAGTTTAAAACTAGTTGATTTTTGTAAAAATATAAAAAAAAGAAAAAGTTTTGAAGTTTTTGTTGATTTATTTTTTATGATTCAGTCAAAGTACTATTATTGTGTTAATAAAGATTATATTATCCTAAAAAGCATTTTATTTATTAATGAAAACTGTATTTTTAATAACTAATCCCTTCAAATAGATCATTACTAAAAATATTTAGAAAATAGAGCCATTTTATTTTTGCACGTCATTTTTACGTATGATTGGGCTTTATAGCCAGTGAAATATGATTGGGCTTCTAGGGTTAAAAAAAATGATATTTAAATTTGATATTTAAAAAAAAGCACTAACAATTAACAAACTACATTAAAACTACTTTGTATTCAATTCTTCTACCCCGTTTTTATTCCTTTATATTCATATATGATGCTTAGTTGTTTTTGAATACTCTTGAAGATAATAATACCCGTATCTCTTTTTGAAATGAGAGTTAGGCAAGTGGTTGAATAAATTATGAGGTCACGATGTGTGACAGTTTGCCAGATTGCTTTAATGAGGTAAGAAAATCGATGTTCACCTTGTTATGTAGCAGTTCAAAATGTATAGCATAACGATAGAATATATATTTAAATTTACGCTTTATTATCATCATAATAGTCATGAATGCCTAATAATATTCTTTAAATTTTTCATTAACAATATTTTTTAGTTTAGCATTGGGAATGCAAAATTGATCAAGTATAATAAATAACTATACATATAACCAATTGCTTGCTAAAGACCCTCTATTTGAAACTATAAGTGTATGTTATTGTTTCAAATAGAGGGCAGGCGACTAGAAGAATTCGAAAAATATAGGATCGCTTTGCCTTTAAACTTCTGTCACTGGCAAATCACAAAGAGAACATTTTCATGTATACCGTATCTCTATTAGGTAGGATTGGACATTCGCTCGGAAGAATAAATTCAACGAGCTAGCTGCGACTCTAATTGTCTTTGTATCTTTAACAATTAGGCAGGATTGGACATTTGCTTGGAAGACAAAATTCGATAAACTATCCGTAACGGTGATTGACGACATCTGTGCAGGTTGTATTGTTATTTGTGGATCAATCTGCATAATTATGAAACAGGAACAACTCATGAATGATTAATTACTCACAATCGATACCAGACTCATTGTTGGAAAGTTTAGTAAAATTAGTACACTTATTTTACTTACCATCAATTCAAAGGCAGCTCTAGCTCATTAAACCCAGTAGTAATTTTATTAATTGTAATTTTATTTTACTGTACAACCCTGGGAGAGCAGAAACACAAGTATTTTATAGCACAGATAACGACACTTCCAAAGAAATATAGATGCGCAGAAAACTTTTTTCACAAAATAGAACCGAATTCAAACTTTAAAAAAGTGATAAATAATACTTATCTCAATAGCGACTTATTAAAGGAAACGCTGTTATAGTTAGGCCAAGGTCTTTTGGAGGTTATTAATTAAACAATAGGCGTCCAACTTTCATAGCATTTTCTGAATAAGTCATTTTTGAGATAAGTATTCTTTATCACTTTTTAAAGTTTGAAGTCGGTTCTATATTTATTAAGTTTTTATTTCATGCTTTTTAGTAACATTAATATTTTTTTTAAGTAAAAAAGAATATTAAATATCTTTATAAATAAAAATATTCAACATCGTACAAATATTCAATATCTCAGAAAATATGATTTTGTTTATTTACACGATATATTTTTTTCCAATTATCTATACTCATATTATAAAGAGAAATGTTTTGATTCTTGTTTATTTGCATTGGCAATATATAACCCGAAACTATTGGACCGATATACAAGTCTTTCATCTACGGGAAGATACATAATACGCGGGGGACATAGGCTATAATTTACGCAAGCGAAATCGCGGGAAAACAGCTAGTTTCATAGAAATTGGTTCACAATTCAAGAACAAAATCGATAAACATCTTTAATAAAAAAAATATACTCTTTGGACACAGAAAATCCACCTCTCGGATTTTGAAAAAAGTGAAAAGCGTATTTTGTTTTGTCATAAAAGGAAAATTACTGATTACATTTCGATAATATTTAAATGGGACCACCTCGGTTCATCAAGCTGTCGAATGAAAAAAGAATTTTAAAACTCGGTCTTTTTTTGTCACCGATATTTCCAACAATGGTTAGAAATATCGGTGATAAAAAAGCATACACTGCCGTCGAACATATAACCTGCTCCTTTTTGATTTTGAAGTCGGTTAAAAATAAGAACATAAAAGTGTAATTTTTTTCTTATGCAAATATCCTTCGTTGAATTGAAACAAAAACCATTTTAATACTCATTAAATTGATTACACTTAACAATATGAAAATTTATGTTTTAACTAAGAATTCCTGAGACTCCAAATGAAGTAGCTACTAAACAAAAACATAACACAAGAACTACAGTTATGTTTATGTATATGTATATTATTATGTGATACGTTTCGTGCTCTTTAAAATCTCCAATTAAGCAATATTCATGTATTAAAAGAAAAAACACAAATTATTTTATTAGCATTTTATTATATTCATATGATTTATATTCACATACAAATTAGTATAACACAGGGAAGTTATTTGTTTATTTATTTAAATAATGACGTAAACAATTGTAATTTTTATGTAATATAATAATAATATGCACATATCATCATAAATTATTAACATGAACTGTTTGCCATACCACTTAAATAGCTATTTCATTTTATTGACTTTATTTTTTTTTTTCGAATTATTATAAAGTATTTAACCGATGCATTTCAAATATCATTTCATAATAGATTTTCATTATTATCTATAGCTCTAAAATTTAAGTTTTAATAATTCTAAAATGATGTTTCATCTTTGTTACATTTTCATTTGTTTATTTAAAGTCTGTGGAATCTATGGAACCACGAATTTTCGGAGGAAAACCTTCAGATATTAACAATAATAAATTTTTAGTGAAGCTAGAGACTAAGATTGGAAATCTCTGCAGTGGTTCTATTTTAAGTAATTATTGGATTATTTCAGCTGCTCATTGCTTTTATCCTATACCTCAAACAATATACGTAGCACATTTTACAGTAGGAAACAAACAAGTGATCGGTGAAATAAAAAATGTGTTAACACATCCTAATCATATTCACAAAAGCAATGATAATATGTCAAACGATGAATTCTCCCACGACATTGCCTTATTGAAGACTAAAAAGACGATAAAGTTTGATGGTTTTGTGGAACCAATCCAGCTTGCTTATACTCCAATTGTGAAAAATAAAGTAGCTACAATAGCTGGATTCGGTTATTCAGAAAAAATGGACTTTAGACCCAGAGAAGGGAAAGTACGGTTGTACTACTGTGGTGTTAGAAGTGGAGTTTTGTGTTCCAACGGTCCAGTAAGAAGCGCTAAGGGAGATTCTGGTGGACCACTTATAATAGATGGACAATTATCTGGTGTTATATCAACGAGTTGTTTGAATGAGTACAAAACTAATAACTGTAGAACAGTATATGTTAATATTTTAGAAAATTATTTATGGATTAACATCACCATATCCGAGAAATAAATGACACTATTTTCTGTTAAAAATAAGAAAATTCTGTCGTCATTTTATTCGTATGTTTAAACATTTACTCTATCTCATGATTACATAATAAACATTGCATTATTCACCCATAATTAAGGAAATCAACAGAGTTTCTAATACTACGGATCAACATTTGTAGAGAAAGAGCGAAAGTAGTGTGCCAGTATTAAAATAAGCGAATAAATAGATACTTTTTGAATTATAAAGGTACTATATACATAAAGCAATACCAGTATATAATACATAATAAAATGTATCATATTAATAAACACATTGAGTTATAAGTTAGAAGACGCCCTAGAAATTTGGACTTGTAAACGTCGACAGATTTTGCATCACCCTGCATGGCAATTGGCCTTCCCTATCGATGGAATTTAATCGAATCAAATATAGAGAGAGTGGCCCAGTGCGGAATGGTGGATATTAACGACTACAGATATAGCCATCAAATCATCACACATCATTAGTGACCAATGAAGAGCTTATAAGCTGGTACTGCATTTTCTAAAAGTTCCAATTAACGCTCTTGAAGAATGAAATATACCAAGTATTAAGTATTGATTGCAATATTTATCATATACACGTGCAGGCCAGCACTCAATGATATCATCCATATCTTACCTACTGTAAAATAACAAGTTTAAAAACAATGTCATGTAAAAGTAATACATTTTTCTTTTATATACATTTTATTGTTTCTTACGCATACCACTTACACAACTACAAATTTTTTAAATAACTATAATTTTCTTAAGTATTTAAAAAGTATATAAACGATGTGATTTTTATTTTATTATTTACTTTTTAATTACCACCATCATTGTCTATGTTTTTACAATGAAATATTACTTGTATTTCATGGCTATTTGTTGCGCAATCTCGATAACATATTCTGTGGAACCGCGAATATTCGGTGGAAAACCTTTGGACATTAATAGTCACAAATATTTAGTGAAAATAGAGTCTGATTCCGACGTTCTGTGTAGTGGTTCAATATTAAATAGTTATTGGATCATTTCAGCAGCTCATTGTTTTTATCCGATACCCAAAATCGTAAGAATATCACATTTCAAAAGTGGAAAGAAACAGGTTATCGCTGAAATGGAAAAAGTTTTTATTCACCCGGATTATATTAATTTCTATAATAATATTATTATGTCAAACGATGAATCGTCTCATGACGTCGCTTTACTGAGGATCAAAAAACCGATTAATTTTGATAATTTTGTGAATCCTATCAAACTTGCTCATACTCCGATTGTAGAAAATGATTTGGCCACAATAGCCGGTTTCGGAATTTCAGAAACTATGGACTTTAAGCCCAGAGGAGGGACGGTGCGGTTATATTATTGTGGTAAAAATAGTAAAGTGCTATGTTCTAAAGGTAAAATAAGGGGTGCAGATGGAGATTCTGGTGGACCACTCGTGGTGAAGGGCCGGTTGGCTGGTGTTACATCAGGAAGCTGTTCGAATGCAAACAAAAATAATAATTGTGAAACTATATTCGCAAATATATTAGAAAATGATATCTGGATCAAAAATACTATGTCAATGGTATAAAATTAAATGTACCCCAGCGATCGAATTCAATACCGATATTAAACTAATTATCTGTACTCTTTTTACAATACATATAATCTAGCTACGAACATTTTTTGTACAGATATATGTTAAATTGGAAATGTTGTTTGCCTTACATCTTGAGTTGCTTTCTGTATAATAAATTTGTTTTCTTTATTTCATTGTGCTTTCCGAATAAATTCCACTACTAAATACAATTCATATCCATTAGCTCACACCCCTAGTTTTGAATGGTAAAATGTTATTTATGCGTAGGTACACTATAAAATAAATACACCATTACATTTAAATAAAAAAATGTCCCAAATAAAATTGCTGATATAAGGTATTTATAAACCTTAACCAATTGATGATATTAGGTGCGTACACATTACGTGATTCTAATTTTAATCTATACTTATATAGTATTAAAAAAATCGCTTGGATTTTGGATTTAGTGGAAATAGATTTAATGCGAAAAATAGATTTAAAAAGAAATATTAAAATATAATTCAAAAATAAACAGCTACAGTGGATTATGACAGAATGGATCTCACAGAAAGATAGGTGCTGAATTAATGGACTCGATTTACTTTGATTTTATAACTTTTTACGGCAGAAGAATTGCGTTGCAAGAGTTGTGAATTATGTGTGTGCATGTTATGTTTTTGATGGGATAATATTTTTAGGGTTATGGAAACAAACATTCAACTCTTTCCTCTCTATAATAGTATCAGTATAATATGTTTGAGTATGAATAGAATCTTTAGATCCCAGTAGATTTGACTTAGCAAGCACATTGGTTAAAATTACTTTTTTTTTAATATATGAATAAAGAAAACACTACAAAATTTATCTATTTATAAAGTTATTTGTATTGTATTATAAGAATATTGACAACTATAAAAATTAATTTTTGCATATCACTCAAATAGCTATTCATTGCATTCATTATTTTCATGCTTTCAAGCCACATTTTTTTTTATTATCAGAATAGTACTGATTGTCATTCGGCTTCTGTTGGGCACTATTTCCACAATGATGGTTTGCTTGTGTATCTTCCTTATTTTTGTCTCAAAATCAATGGCATATTCTATAGAACCACGAATTTTTGGTGGAGAATCTCTTAGTTGTCAACAATCATAAATATCCTAAGCATAGAGATAGACTTGAAAGGTTTAGTAGTGGTACCATCATAAGCAACTATTGGTTTTTTTTTTTTCCCCATTTATTATTGTATCCACAAAAAAGTTTACATTTTTAATTCTTACAACATTGTAAAAAAACAACCACTGAGGTTCGTCTACAATATCAATATTTTGCATCAAGCAACAAATAGTTTACAATTTACATACATACTTATTCAATAATATTCTAAAATTTTATATTTTATAAAGAACGCAATTAATGTCTTACATAAGATAACAAGGTGGACCGACGATCTGGTGAAGGTCGCGGGAAGTCACTGGATGCGGGAGGCGCAGGACCGATCGCTTTGGAGATCTTTGGGGGAGGCGTATGCCCAGCAGTGGGCGTCTCTCGGCTGAATTGATGATGATGATGATGATAAGATAAGAATCAGGCAGGCGTTTATTGTTTTATAATCGATGTTAATTCGAACATAGTCATTCCAAAAAGTATTGTTAAGTTTAACTTTAATTTTTTTTTTGTTAAAGTATTTTTAAGAAGGCGGGTTGTTGATCAATTAATCTTGTACTTGTTAGCGCGTGATGTTCATAGCCGTTCTTGAGCGACGGAACGCGTGTATGTAGGATGTTTATTTTTTTTAAGAACATCATGATTGAATAATTGTTCCTTGATTAAATTATATTCAACCCTACAGTGACGAAAAAGGTCTCATTCATTATATTTTAATTGTTTCTTTACCTCCGGAGATACGACTGTTTTTAATATTCTTAGTTGTAGTTTATATATGTTATTTAAAATATATACTAAGTGCGTTCTGAATGAACGATTCAGCCAGTGAAATATATAGCAATGGTGATGGGTTCGATGCTTGAGCGAATGAATAAAAGGCTGAATAAGCTTAAGAACTTGAATTTATTAAACGGTTATAAAGAAAAGAGAAAAGGAAAAACCCTTTTTTTGGGTTTCCTGTAATAAATAAAACTTGGACGATATTTCACGAAGATATACTTTTAGATTAACATGTTTATTATTTAAATTTAATAACTTCATTATTATAAAATTTTATATTTTAATTTATATGATTACATTATCATGTTCACACCAGATTATTTTTACGAACTAACATTCATAAAGAGCATATTAGATTACTCATAGTTTCAAATTACGAAAGGTGAATAATAAAAGGAAATGATATTGAAAATCAAAGACAAAAAGTTTGCATGCGGAAACCTAAGACGAAATAAGCGGTCGGTGGTATGGCACACACACCGTTACAGCATCAACTTAATCTTAAAATGAATCAATATCACCAGCCCTTTTTACGTCCCCACTGCAAGGGCTCTGGCCTTCCTTATGGATGGCTAAGGAGGATGGGCCATGACCCTCCACGCTGGCCCAAAGCGGATTGGAGGGTATTAACGACTGCAAATGCAGCCGGGACCAACGGCTTAACGTGCCTTCCGAAGCACGGAGTAGCTCGAGATAATTATTTTTTGGTCACCCATCCTGTGACCGACCATAGCGAAAGTTGCTTAACAACAACGATCGCGGGCCGCAGCGCATATCCAGTACGCCACCGAGCTACTCAAAAGGAATACGATTACAATTAAGATTACATACTTAAAAGGAATACGATTTTTTTATTATTTTCATGTTAGCTAGAAATTGCCTTATTTTTATCACGAACTTGCTCAATATGAAGTCCCCAGTTAAATCTGTCGTCGATAATAACCCCGAGATAAGTATGAGACTTTAGTACCTCTACAACAGGACATTTACAATTGGTCCGACAGGAATCGTGCAAGCAAACATGATCGTGAACAATTATATTTCCGGGTGAGGATTGTTTTAAGTGCGCAGATTTATTGTTTATTAGTTTTGTTTTACTGGCGTTCAAAATCAGCCCAGCATCATGACACCATTTGATAAGGTTATCAAAATCACCCTGAAGACACTTTGTACGTTCCTCCAATTGTCTTCTACCAATTATCAGGCAGGTATCATCGGCAGATTGATAACATGTACAATTTTGAATACTGTTTTTCATGGTATTTACACAAGACAAAAGAGCTACCCATTGCTTTCTTCCAACACCAATTGCTTAAAAAATGTAAAGTATTTTTAAGATATTTAGTTTTTAGGGTTCCGTATCGAAAGGGTAAAAACGGGTTTCTTTACGGGACAGCATAATTGTCCGTCTGTCTATCACCAGGCTGTATCTTTTGAACCGTGATAGTTAAACAGTTTATATTTTCACAGATGATTAACAA